GCTTTGTATCCAAAGACGAAATTTGTAGGTGAAAGGAGTTAGCCTTCATTACAGACTGGTTAATTTCAGGGTCGAAAATATGGAACGCTTCACGAATTTGCGTGTCATCCTTGCGCAGGGGCCATGCTAATCTTCTCTGTATCGTTCCAATTTTAGTATATGTGCTGCCGAAGCGAGCCCAAATAATACAATTTTTATTATCAGCGATTATTGGCTGACTCCAGTCATCTTGTCTCAAAGGAAACCCCTTTTCTTGCCCCATATGGAAATAACATGGAAAACCAGCCAGTTCTGCTTTCAACCTTCATCTTTTTTAAACTTTATATAGAGTTGATAACAACATGTGCAGTGAGTTAAAATTCTGTGTAATCCATTAAAAGAGTTATATTTTAGATATATTGGTTAAATAGCAATAAAATTAATTTCACCTATTTCTTTTCACTTTTTAAGAAGTTCACTTTTTTTGTTGTTAAGGATGTATATGGCACAACAGAACCCTGGCTCACCGGTTTTTCCATGTACATTTCAGTGACATTGATTATGTTCTTCAAGGTACAATCGTTTTCACCCTCCTTCTCTGAGTTCTTCCTTCCCTTTTTAAATTTTTTCAATGTGTCTACTAGAAAATTTGAAATGACATACAAAGGTAACGATATATTTCTGTTCAATCATGCTAGGCTAGAACTGAATCACATGTGCTAGCTGCAGGGAGAGGCGGGGGAATTTGGTATTTTGATAGAATGGTGGTGTATTTAGCAGAAAATTAGATTTTGTTGCTAAGGAGAAATGTAATAATAGATATGTGGGATGGGTGGTTAGCAGTGCCTGCTGTGTGTGTGTGTGTGTGTGTGTGTGTGTGTGTGTGTGTAGACATGAAAACATAGACATTTTTTCTTCTTTCCTGCAAATTTAGAAGGCAAACAAATACACATGGGAAGTCACAGTTGAGATTAGGCAGGGTCCCTGCCCTCAAGGAGCTTATCAGTTTATCTATAATAATATTGATAAATATGAGCTCTGGTGGCCTAGTGGCAAGCAGCTGTGCTGCAATCCTAAAGGCACATGGTTCAAGGCCACCAGTTGCTCCATGGGAGAAGGATGGGCTATCTCCTCCCATGCGATTAACTGCCCGCTGGAGAGTCAGCTATGGGTTGGTTTTGACTCTATGATACACAACAACAATAGATAAATTTATAGTCAGTAAAAATCCAATTGTTGAAATAGCTAACCTGCACTTCAGAACAAAAGATGAAACAATGTTTCTATGGTGTTAGAAAGTACAGTGGACTAAACAACTATTTAAGGGGGGAAAAAAACAAAAAAAACAAAAAAAAGAAAGTACAGTGGAGTGATTTACATGGGTTTCCTGGGTAAGGAGAACCAGAGCGGTGATGAGAGAGAGTATGTTCCCTAGAGAGAACACCTTGGTTAGGGCTGTCTTGCATAAAACTTTCCATTTAGTCTTTTTTGACATGCTTGTTGAATAGTCTTTTTTGACATGCTTGTTGAAACAGAGCATGCTTGGGACAAGGGACAAAGGCTGAACCCTTGTTTTATATGTTTTGTGTTCCTTCCTGAATCTTTAGGACGTTGTATTCAGCCTTTTGCATGGAACTAGCTTCCCGTGGCTTTGTGGTTGCTGTCGTAGAGCACAGGTAAGATATGACAGCCATAATGAACTATCGCGGGTTAGATCCTTGCAGTGGACTAGGATGTAGGCTTTTTCTTGTTATGTGCCATTGAGTAGCCTACAGCCCATAGTAACCCTATGTACAGCAGCTCTGAAGCCTGCCCTGTCCTGAGCCAGTCTTAACTAAATCTGTCACACCAACCCTCATTGCTCCAGTTACTGTATCAATCCATCTCATCCCAGGTCTTCCTCTCCTGCGCTGTCTCTCGACCCTTCCGAGCATGATGTCCTTCTCCAAGGACCCTCCTGGCCACTTCCCCAAAGTATGTGAGAAGGAGCTTCAAAATCCTAGCCTCAAGGAAAAACTTGGTCACCCTCTCCAAGACAGACCTATTTGTTTTCTTGGCAGTCTCCATGGTATGTTCAAGACTCTTCTCCAGCACAATTTGAAGGCATTGAGTCTTCTTCTGTCATCTTTAATCATTGTCCAGCTCTCTGAAGCATAACAAGTAATTGTGAAGACCATGGTCTGGACCAGGCACACCTTAGTCTCTAGAATGACATCGTTGCTTTTCAGTACTCTGGAGAGGTCCCTGACAGCAAATTTTACCAATGCAAGTCATCTTTTGATTTTTTGACTGCTGGTGCCAGCAGTGGTGATTGTGGAGCTGAGCAAGCTGTAATTGTTAACAACCTCAATCTCTTCTCCATCTGTCATGGTGCTACCAGTTGGCCCAGTGGTGAGCATCTTTGTCTTCTTGATGTTGAGCCTCAATCCATACTGAAGACTACAGTCCTTGACCTGCAGCAAGCGCTTCAGGTTCTCTTCAGTTTCCGCAAGCAAGGTTGTGTCACCTGCATATAATAGATTGTTGATGAGTCTTCCTCAAATCTTGATGCCACATTCCTCCTCAAAAGCCCTGCTTCCTGTATAATTTGTTCTTCATATAAATTGAAAAGGTATGAAGACAGGATGCATCATTGACGCACTCCTTTTCTGATTTTGAACCATGCAGTGTTTCCTGTTCTGTTCTGAGGACTGTTTCCTGGTTTAAGTATAGGTTTTGCATAAGCACAATCAAGTGTTCTGGGATTCCCATTTTCTTCAAGGTTAACCACAATTTGTTGTGATCCATACAGTCAAATACCTTTGCATGCCTCTGGTATTCTTCGCTTTCTGCCAAGATCCATCTTACATTGGCAATAATGTCTCTCATGCCACAACCTCTTCTAAACCCAGCTTGTATTTCTGGTAGTTCCCTGTCACTGTATAGACTAGCCACCTATTAATGATCATTTCTGATTCTCAAAACAACTATGCAAGGCAGACATAATCTCCACTTTAAAGCTGAGAAAATCCAGGTTTCAAAAATGTTAACTGCTTGGAGCAAGTGATATAGCTCACTTGAAATTCAAGCCTAAATCTACCTCTAAACTCTACTTCCGCGCCCTGCCCCCCAACTCCCTTTATTACAGGGGAGCACTGCGTGGCCTAAAATCAAGGAGAGTGTACATCAGCGTATATCCTTTCTACATATATATTAAGTTTATATGCTGAATAAATTATTACAGAAGTTGGACTATACAAAGAAGAGTTGATTCAGGCTTCAGATTGGAGGAAGGCTCATCAATATCCTGCATTATGCAGATGACACAACCTCCCTTGTGGTTGTGTTACAACCACAAACTGAAGAAGACTTAAAGTACTTACTGCAGAAGGTTAAAAACCATAGCTTGCTATATGGATTGCATCTCAACATCAAGAAACAAAAAATCTTCATCACAGCACCAATAGGTATATAACATACACCATGATAGAGAAAAGAATAAAGTTGTCAATGAGTTCTAATTTTACTTGGATCTACAACTAATAACCATGGTAGCAACAACCAGAAAATGAAAAAATGTATTTCATCAGGGAAATCTGCTTTCAAGAGCCTTTCCAAGTTCTAAAGAGCAAGCATATCAGCTTAAAGACTAAGGTGCACCTGCTCCAAGCCATAGTCTTTTCAGTTGCTTCCTATTATACTGCATTTGAAGTTCAGCAATGAAGAAGAATACAAAAGAAGAATCAGTGCCTTTGAGTCGTGGTGTTGGAGAACAATACTGACTACCCCATGGGCTTCCGGAAGAACAAACAATTCTGTCTTGAAGGAAGTACAATCAGGATGTTCCTTATGGGCAAGAATGGTGAAACTTTGTCTCACATACTTTGGGCATGTTACCAGTAGGGGTTGATCTTTAGAAAAAGAGGTCGTGCTGGTTAAGGTAAAGGGTCAGCAAAAGAGAATGACCCTCAACAAAATGGACTGACAAAGTGACAGTAACAATAGGTTCAAGCAAAGATTGTGCGGATGGTTTAGGATAGGGCAAAGTTCAGATCTGTTGATAATAGGGTCGCTAGGAGTCATAGTCAGTTCACCTGCACCTTAACAACATACATACCCCTTGATGTCCACTCTACTAGACAAAGAATGATTCAGAATGTCTTCACCCAAAAAGAAAAGTTGTTAAAGGAGCGATAAAGCTCAAGAGAGTCTTCAGATTTCTCACTGTTTACATGTATATTTCAGGGACCAGTCAGCTGCAACCACTTACTTCTACAAGAAGACTCCAGAGGATAACCAGACCACTACTGAGCCACTCGAGGAAGAATGGATCCCTTACCGTCCAGTTGGGAAAGAGGAGAAGGAATTCCATGTCCGGAATCCCCAGGTAGACTTGGGCTAATTGGGAATGGAGAGTTAATAAATCCATGGTGCGTTCTGTGTGTATAGAGGTTGAATTCACCCTTTCTCTTAGAATTCCAGTGTATTGAATCTGGATTTGCCAGTGAGGATAAATGAGATATTAATCAAAGCTCTTTCAACTGCAAGTGACAGAAACTCAACTCAAGTTTGCTTAGGAAAAAAAAATTGACTGACTTATATAAACAAGCTGTAGAAAGGGTAGAACAGCTGGCGCCAGCCTGGAATGCCAAGGCTTGCTCTTCATATCTCAGCTGTCTCTCCTACAGGCGTACTTTGTGAGGTTAGAACCACAGGTTCTGATAGCTCTGAGCTTGCACATGCTCAATCTAGCATCTAAGAGAATCTTTTTATTTTAAGGGCAAAATGGGACAGGCCTTACCCTTGTCCCATTTTGTAGTTTGAAAAATCCAAGTAGTGTCCTTAGAAAAAAGTACAGGTCATTCCAGATGTATGACAGGGTTTCGTTCAGACAGCTCTGCCGTAAGTCAGTTCTGATGTAAGTGGAATATTTAAAAAAAAAAAAACAAAAAAACACTTTTCATTATTTTTGTCTTTTATTATCAGTATGTTGTTGTTATTATGTGCCTTCAAGTCACTGGTGTACAAGAGCCCTAAACCCTGCTCTATCCTGTGCCAACCTCACTGTCTCTGACACACCCACTCCCATTGCCCCAATCACTGAATCAATCCATCTCAACGAGGGTCTTCCATAGGGTCTTTATTTTCTTTGAGGATTGGAAATATTGTATATGAATTTACAGCTTCAACATTGGCACTTCCTGCTTTTCCACTTCTGTGTTTAGTATGTAAGCCAAAAGAAAAAGAAAACAAAAAGGGTTCTCAGTGTGGTTTGCCATAGCTCAACTACAGCTTAAGTCCAGAACTTTCTGTACTAAAATTTTAAGTCCTCTAGAAATATAGAAGAATTGGGAGCTAGGCTAGGCAGACAAAAGCATTAACTGTGTCCTACAGATTGAATTTGTTGTTGATAGCTTCAGTCCTCTAGGCCCCGACTCATAGTGACCCCGTGCACAATGCTGCCAGTCCAGCATCAGTCTCCTCAGGGATTATGATCCATAGAGTTTTTGTTGACTGATTGTTTTTAAGTAAATAAACTGACCTTTCTTTCTAATCTTAGTCTGGAAGCTTTGCTGAAAGCTGTTGCATAATAGCAGTACCCAAATGCCCAGTGGCAGATGAGTGGTGGCTGTATACTGCATTTAGAATACAAATATACTGTTTTTATTTATAAATATATATTAGTGTGTTTATTAAGTTATATGTATTTATTATAGAAATAGTATGTTCTTTTTTTCTCATTGGAGTCGCTGATAATCCTGTGTGTAGAAGGTAGAGACTGAAAGGCATCTAGCTGGCTCCTTTATACCATTAGGGGGTATTTACAGGAACTGAGGGAGTCCCTGGGAGGTGCAAAGGGTTAAACGCTTGACTACTAGTTGGAAAGTGGGCAGTTTGAATCCTGTTAGCAGCACCTCAGGAGACAGGCCTGGCCATCTGCTTCTGAAAGATCACAACCTTCAACCCGTGGAACAGTCTCTTCTGCACATGTGGAGCGGCTGTGAGTCAGAACCTGCCCAGCAGCGGCCGGCTACAGCACGGGCTGTGAGAGAGCCGAGTGTCCCTCGGGATGATGGGCCTACGATGCTTGCCGAGATGTGGGTGGACAAACTGCCTTTGTCCTGGAGTTGTGTAAGATTCTCTGGGTGGTTGTGTAGTTCACCAGCTTCCATCTGGACTGTCTCTGTCTCAGGTCCACCAGAGGGTGAGTGAGTGTCTACAGGTATTGACCATCCTGCAAGAGGTCACTGCTGGGAAGACCGTCCTCAACATCTTGCCTGACGGCTTAGATCTGACGACCTTCAAGGTATGGCTGAGCGTGGTTTGAGTTAGAATAAATGCATTTGTGAGCACGTTCTTAGTTACGAACATCAGAAACCGACTTCTCACACTAGCTTAAACTGGCAGAGGGTTATTGAATCACATAACCATGAAGACCAAAGGTGAATTGGCCTTAGGCCAGTGTGACTGAATCCAGAGACTATTATATGAATAAGGATGGCGTGTATAAAAAATTTACTTTTATGAATACTTATTATAATAAGAGTTCTTCACACAGGCTTTTGAAATATTGTTCACTTTTCTGTGCAGAACGAAATCAAGGATCAAAGAGGCTAAGTATGTACTAAAGTTTACTCAGTTGAGGAAGTAAAATTTTAAACTGGGCCTTTTTGATCCCTAAGCCTGTGCACTGTGCTCCTTTTGATAATTTTTTTTTTAAATAATACCTTTGAAAGCTCTGGTCAAGCCCTCTAGGGAGCAGCATCTGCTTGAATTGCCAGTAGGTAAGGCAGAATCCAAAATCTAGAATATCAACCATTTGTTGTATGCCTTCAACCCCTACCAGACAAGCTGGGCCCAGGACAGTGGGTGCAGGCCTGCACGCCTGTGAGCCCACAGACGGGGAATGGCAGGCTGCATTTAGATTAGTTGCAAGGTGGTCTTCTTGCATATAGAATTGAAAAGCTTACGTTTCATCTATCTAATTGAGTGCAATCCAAAAAAATTGATTACTCACTATGTTGACAATGCTGTGGGGAAGTCAGTATTGTCTTCCTACATTGCAAATTAGAGTACAAATTGCTCCATCAAAGGCAATTTGGCAACAGCGATCAACAGTACCAATGCACATAGACTTTGACCTAGCAATTTGCAATCTTGGAAAATTGCCTACAGATACCTACACGCATATGGTGTGATGTATGCACAAGGCTATTTCTTCCAATGTTGTTTGTAATATCAGAAAACAGGCAGCAACCTAAATGTCCACACCAGTAAGGGGACTGATTTAATCATTTATGGCACAATGGATATATTAATTGGGGTAATGCTAATTGCTAATTTCATGAACAACAAATCTTGGTTGCTTAACACAATAGAAGTTTATTTCTCTCCCACTATTAAGTCCAAAATGGGTGTTCCTCTGCAAGGCGCTAGTCAAGAAACCCAAACCCCTTTCATCTTATGCTTCTACCCTCTTCAAGCTGCGAAACCCAGCTTTGCTGTGTGCACTAAGCAAGCGGAATGGAAACAAGCATGAAGGTTTGTACAGGGGAGTTTTTATGGACTAGGTCTGGAAATGGTGATAGCATGTTGCTCACTTTCTGTTGGCTGGGGCTGAGTCACAAAGCCACATCTAACCGCAAGTTGTGTTAGATTTTGTGATCAGTCAACTGTCAAATGCAGCCATAGAAAAGATTGAGGAAGCTTTAAATGTACTGATACTGTTATGCCAAAAAATAAATTATACTACTCATCTGTATGAACTTAATGTGGGAGACAAATAAACTTCTATTGTGTTAAGCCACTGAGATTTGTTGTTCATGAAATTAGAAATTAGCATTCTCCCAATTAATATATCCATTGTGCCATAAATTATTAAATCAGCTTCCTTACTGGTGTGGACATTTAGGTTGCTGCCTGTTTTCTGATATTACAAACAACATTGGAAGAAATAGCCTTATACATACTTCACACTACATGTGTGTAGGTGTCTGCAGAACAGATCATTTGAGAAGCTGGGCTTTATGAAGAGGAATGTGGCAAGAGGATTTGAGGAAGACTCATCAGCAATCTGCAATATACAGATGACACAGCCTTGCTTGCAGAAACTGAGGAGGGCCTGAAGCATTTGCTACTGAAAGTCAAAGGACTGTATTCTTCAATATGGATCAAAGCTCAACATCAAGAAGACAAAGATTCTCACCACTGGGCCAATTGGCAAGCACCATGATGGATGGAGAAGAGATTGAGGTTGTTAACAATTTTCCTACAGTCAACACTCTTGGCACCAGCAGTCAGAAAATCAAGAGATGAATTGCATTGGAGGAATCTGTCAGAGACTTCTCCAGAGTACTGAGAAGCAACAGTGTCAGTCTAGAGACTAAGGTGCACCTGATCCAGGCCATGGTCTTTGCAGTTTCTTACTATATATCAAAGAGCTGGACAGTGACTAAGGATGACAGAAGAAGAATCAATGCCTTTGAGTTGTATTCCTGGAGAAGAATATTGCACATACCATAGACCACCAAGAGAACTAATAAGTCTGTCTTGGAGACAGTGAAACCAAGCTGCTCTTTGGAGGCAAGAATTTTGAAGCTCCATCTCACATACTTTGGGCATGTGGCCAGGAGGGGCTAGTCCTTAGAGAAGGACATCATACTTGGGAAAGGTGAGTGAACACAGTGCAGGAGAGGGAGACCATGGATAAGATGGATCAACACAGTAACTAGGACAGTGGGGGTAGGTGTGTCAGTATCAGTGAGCCTGACTCAGTACAGGGCAGGGTTCAGAACTGTTGTACATAGGGTCGCTGTGAGTTGCAGATGACTCAGTGGCATGTAGCAACAACAACCACTTGTGTGAAAAGGTGAGAAAGCATATGATATGTTTGCTTATATATATTTATTTAAGGAATCTCTGCAAGAATACGCAAGAAACCAGGACTTTGATCCAGTTCATCTTGCTCAGTTTTGACTGGTGAAGTGACACAAGAGTGGACCCAAATTTGTAAAATGCGCATAGACTGAAACATGAACTGGAATGCGCAGATCATGTGTCCAAGCCCTCCTAGAAACGTAATCTCCCTCTTAGAAAATATAAACAGCATGTGCACTGCATAGCAACCAAATCTCTTAACCAACATAGTTGCAAACAGAGGGCCCTGGCTCAAAAATGGCAGCTGACCACACCATTTTGAATGTAGTCATTCTCCACAGTCCTGGCAGTAATCTAATGCCATGCATCAGGCTCCTGGAAGGGCTTGTGATGTTTATTCTTGGACTTTGACTTGTTTTTCCCATTCCAGTTATTGTTTTGGATGACCTAAATTTTTCAAAGTTTTAAAACTTCTCCTCTAGTTTCGTTTCATCAGTCATGACTGAACTGGTCAAACCAGCTTGAAACCCTGAAAGACACTGATAGCAGTGGTTAGTCATTTGGAGGGTAAGGAGTGGGCAAGTATTTGCTTAGGGAATGGGCTAAAGAGACTTTTCTATAGACTTTGGGTTTTAGAAATATGTTACTATAAAAATAGGGGGAAAATAAAGACAAAAACTGATCCAATCATGTTGTTGATCTGGAGGCTCTGTGCAGAGAGAGAATTTAGGTCAAAGCATCAAGAGAGAAACTGGGGAGAGCAGAGAAAAGCAAGGGTTCAGAGCAGAGACTGGGCTGAGCCTAGAGAGATTTCCTGAGCCCCTTAGAGGCAGCTGCAGTGGCTTTTTATATAACCATGCCCTGAAGCCTTCTGGGGACAACCAGAAATAGATTATTTACAGAGCATGTTAGAGCAAGCCGACTCACTCTTCCCCCAACCTACACCCACCCAGGCCTTGGATAAAAATCAGGACAGATAACCAGAGAAAGTGGAACCTCAGTCGGCTTTCATCCAGTCATCCCTGGATTTAGAACAAAGTGGGCTGGGCATTAGGAGCATCCTCAGCCCATCCTCGGCTCAGTGCGTGTGTCCGCCTCACTGGACCAGTCATAGGCATTCTGGAGCATGGAGAGAGCTCTTCCTCTTAGTATGTTCTTAGGCTCCTGAGATGGTGTGCAATTTACTCCCATCTCTGCCCACCCATTTCCTTCTTTATACAGGGCTCAGGTGGTATAGTGCATTACATGTTATGCTACTAATGGAAAGGCCAGCAGTTCAGATCCATCAGCTGCTGCTTGGGGAAAAAGATGAACAGTCTTAGAAACCCAATGGAGGGTTGCTATGAGTAGTGATAGACTTGACAATAATGGTTGGGTTGTTGTTGTTAAGTGCCGTTGAGTCGTAGGTGACTCATAGCTACCCTATGAATGAAAGACCTGAACACTTGTATAACTTTCATCCTTTCTCCAGGTCTGTAGGGTTTCCGGAGGCAAGCTGTTTCAGCAGTGGACGCCACTCCTGCTTCCAAGCTTACAGATATTTAAATGTCTATATATTAAATGTCCAGATATTATAAAGATTATAAAAATAAAAAGCATGGTTCTCAGAATTTCTGCCTTCTTAGTTTTTTAGGGCTGCTATAACAAGTTACCACAAATGTACTGTTAAAACAACAGAAATTTATCTGTCATGGTTTTAGAGGTGATATCAAGGTGTCAGCAGGGCCATGTCCTTAGAAGAATCCTTCCTTGCCTCATCAGCTGCTGGTGGTTCATGGAATTCCTTCGATTCAGGCAGCATATAGCTTTCTGGTTTTTATCTTCACATGAACTCTTTCTGTCCAAATCTTCTCTTTTCTTTTATCAGTCATTGGATTTAGGGTCTACCCTGAATCTAGAGTAATTTCCTCCTTGTCTTTCTTTTGTTTAATTGTTAATTAGAGTTTGGTTTCCAAACAAGGTAGGAAGCAGTAGTAAGAAGAGCTCAAGGAGTGAGGCAGTGAGGGACCACCAAGGTTGGCTAGTTGTGCCACGGTCAGAGGCCACATGGGAGCCCTGGGCTGGAGGAATCTGAGAACAGTAGACTAGGGGAATTCCAAAGGGGTGTTTTGTGCACAGGGGACCTCCTTGCCACATTGTTCTAGCACAGCTCAGGCACCAGTGCCTGCATATGGCAGCCTAGCTCTCACTTCAGCACATGGCTTACAATCTGTGTCATTGGCTGATCCAACTATTCCTTGAGCTTGGCAGCTCATATGAAGAGAGACTAGAGCATGATCATACCCTGGGACAGCCTGATGAGTTCCAGTGTGTGCTCTGCCTTAAAGTAGTTAAAGAACTATTTGAGGGTCATCTCCTTAAAATTACAATAGCCCCTATGCTTCAAGGGAACCCCACAGTAGATACTTTTGTTATAATGTTGGTGTCTAGATGGGACAAGGAGCTCAGCGAAGCCAAAGAAAGGCAAGACCAAGTTGAGGAGGCCGTTTTTATAGGATTCAAGTGTTGATAACCCTGCCCAATCTTGTACAACTCCAGACGTACAGATGGAAGGTGCTGTCATCTTCTCAAAGTTGATGGCATACATCTTGAACTTGAAGGGCTTGTCTGGGCAGGATATTATGACCTTGAGCTCCTTTAGACAGCTGTCATCAGAAGAGGCATTGGTAATCTGCAGCTCAAGTCAAAGACATGGATCTTGATGCCAGACTTGGGGCTGAAGTTAGGGACCTGCACAGACACAGGAGGAGTGTGGCCATAGCAGTTCAGTCCTGACAACCCATCAGACTATGTTGTTTGTTGTTAGGTGCCTTGAAGTCAACTTCAGCTCATGTACCAAATGTACAAATATCAAAACATTGGCCTCTCCAGCGCTATCCTCATAATCTCTGCCAAGCTCAAACCCGCTGTTGTCATTATTTTAATCCATCTTGTTGAGAGTCTTCACCTCTTTTATTGACTTTCTACTTGTCCAAGAAGTATGTCTTTTTCCAAAGATTGGCCCATCCTGACAACATGGCTGTGTGTGTGTGATGGAGTTTCATTATCTTGACCCCTGAAGTGCACTCTAGCTCTACTTCTTCTAAGACAGATTTGTTTCTCCTTTTGGCCGTCCGTGGTATATTCAATATTCTTCACCAACTCCAGAATCCAAAGGCATCCATTCTTCAGTCTTCCTTATTCACTGTCCAGTAGTTCTGGGCAATAAGGTTAGCAGTGGCTGCCGCATAGTCCAGATTGTTGATATCAAAGGGAAACATGTATGAACATCACCTGCGGGACTCCCGAGTGTGTGAGCTGGTCTGGAGGGAAGTTGTGCAGCAGCTGCTGTACGTTATTAGAGTCCTGGGTGTGCAGATGGTGCCAGGCCCAGGTCATAGAGTCAGCCTCAGTGATTGACTGTCTTGCCATCCTAAACTAATGCTGTTCACAAAGACTGTGTTTCCAATTTCTGGTTCTGGGTGGACATGAATTTGGGGGAGGTGGAGGCTCTCTTCAACCTACCTCAGATCATTATGGTTCAAAAACAAAGATGAGGAAACATGATTCTCAGGAAGCCTGCCTACAGCAGGCTGTTCAGCCTGGCTATAGCTATTCCAGTGGCTAAGAGATTGCCAGTGCTGTGGCTTCGTGGGCTTATGCATTCTACAGTGCTTCTGCCTCATTGTCTCCATAGTTATTCTTACCTCTGACAAATTCTTAGGGAAGAAGCCTTGATTTTCTGACTTGGTCAAGTTCTTCACTTTCCTCAGGGCAGCATTGACATGAGCCGTGTGGCTGTGATGGGACATTCATTTGGAGGGGCCACTGCTGTTCTGGCTTTGGCTGAGGAAATCCGCTTTCGGTGAGTTTTCCATTGATGCTGCTACGCTCCACAAGGTATTTATTCATTCGGCAAGTCTTTATACGTAAGCATTAAGCCCACTTACTGTTTTAGGGGCTGGGATCTCAGTGATAAACCAGAAAGCAAGGCCTCTGATGTCATGGAATTATGTTATTGTGGGAGATAACAGACTCATAAGGTAATTCAATTCTCAGCAACAAAGAAATTAAAAAACAGGGTAAAGTGCTAGAGTGTCCAGAGGCTTTTCTCAGAATGGGACAAAAGCCAAAATCCAAAAGGTGGAAGAAGCCAGCCATTCCGAAGTCCAGGAGAAGATCATTACAGCCAGAGGGAGCAGCTGCTGCCAAGGTTCAAGGGGAAACAGCGTGCTGTGTTAGTGCCAGAGGGGACCAGGGAGGGCAGTTAGATTTTATTCGAATTATGACAAGTGGCCATTGCAGAATTTTAAGCAGAGAAAAAGCAATCTTACATGCGCTAAAAAAAAATTTAAAAAACAATTAAAATATCTGTCTACTATGTAAAGACCAGAAGGTAGTAGGACAAGAATGAAACAAAGGAGCAAGTAAAGGGAGCTTGATTTAGAATCCAGGCAAGAAAATACATCTGCCTTAGGGTGAAGGAAGGAGTTACAGTTAAAGTTATCTGCCTTAGATGGAGGAGTGGAGTGGAGACCATGCAAGGAGTCAGGGCGTATTTCAGAGTCTCCATTACTTAGTGATGTAAGAGGTGAAAATGAAGCGTAATCCAGGCTTCTCATTTGCATCTCTACCATTTGGTCAGTGATAATCTTCCTCATTGAGAGAGAGAAGATGGGGGCTCATTTTGGGAGGTGGGGATGAAATCTTTAGGACTTAATTTTACCCCCGTGGTGACACACTCACCAAGTCTCCGAGTTGTGGCGCCAGCCTTCTCTGAATCCCGCCACTGCACAGCACACTCTGTGGACTTACATAGCGCTTATTATAAAGTTAGAGTGCTCAGGAGCTGCACTGTATTTTCTGTCTCCTCTGCTAGCAGACAGAGCTCCTTAGGAGTAAGAATTATGCTTTGCATCCCTGTATCCACATAGTAGACAGTCAATGAATGGTGAATGAATGAATGAATGATTACAGGAACAAAATGCCTGTCATTCTCTGTAACTCAAATCAATCTTCTGGGAGTAAGTAGATCAAGGAGGCAGAGGGGGCCTGATTCTTGTGCTCAAAGAGTTTAAAATTTGGAAGGATTGGTGACAGGTGAAAGTGACATGTACGTATGTATGTATGTGAAAGTGAGCCTGACAGAAGGATATGGTCCCTGCACCCCCTTCTTGGCTTTCTGAGCCTTTGGCCCACTAGAGGGAACCCCGCCCTTCCCCATCATGCTCACTGTTCTTGCCTGGGTTTCTGGTTGGCATTCCTACATGTCTGGTTCTGTTGCAGGTGTGCTGTGGCACTGGATGCTTGGATGTTTCCACTGGAACGTGACTTTTACCCCAAGGCCCGAGGCCCTGTATTCTTCATTAATACTGAGAAATTCCAGACAGTGGAGAGTATTAACTTGATGAAGAAGATGTGTAGCCGGCATGAACAATCTAAGATCATAACTGTTCTGTGAGTAAATCCCGACCAAGACCATGCTCCCAGCGTCTTATCTTCACTCAGCTATGGCTCCCTTAATTTCTTTTGGAGTAGACAGAAGTTTTCACCTATTAATAGAATATTGTTCATTGTTGTTGTTAAGTGCTGTCGAGTCGAGTGCAACTCATAGTGACCCTATAAACAAAACCTGAACCCTGTTACATTACTATCATTGTTTCTCTGTTCATAGAGATTCCAGGAGCATGTGGTTTAGAAAGTGGATGCCACTCCTGCTTCCAAACCTGAATCAATCTTGGAAATTCACCAAACACCGCCCACGATGGATAGCCATTATGGTATTTGACACACCTATGGCACAGTTTAGGTTGTTAGCCCTGATGTGTCCACTTGCTGTACAGAGGTAACTTGTGGTTGCTGTGAAGCTGAACACTGTGACACTGATGTGTCAACTGCATTAATGGTTACCCATGGTGGACAGTGTTTGGTGGAGCTTCCCAATTAAAGCAAACTTAGAAGCAGGAGTGGCATCCACTTCCATAATAGCTTGCCTCCGGAAACCCTATGAACTTGGAGAAAGGATGAAAGTCACACAAGTGTTGAAGACTTTCATTCATAGGGTCTCTGTGAGTTGCCTTATGACTCCGCGGCACTTAACAACAACAACAACATGGCACAGTAGTTCAGCATCAGAGCAACTCCAGGTTACTTCAGTACAGCAACTAGACAGACCACTGCTGTACCATTTAAAAGAATGTTCATCCCAAACTCAAAACTGCATTTTTAAATTCACACCCAAGTGGTGATGGACTAAAAACCAGAGACTCCCAGTCCATCTGGCAAGTCCGTTCAGCTGACATCCACTTGTGGACGAAAATAAAGCCAAAAAACATCAAACGTTCCTTACATGACCCTCATCAAGACATGAGAAGCCATCTTCCAGCATCAAACCAATTCACAGGAGCCTCCAGTCTGCAGACTTAGCCAAGCACTGCTGCATGTTTAAAATCAGCCATGCCCAAATGCTGGTGCGCTAATAGAATACCTAAATCAAATACTTCCTGAGTTTCAAAGCCTTAATTCTTGTACAATTATATGTCAATAACCCCTTCTCTCAGAGCTCTCGTGGCTTAATAAGAAGCTGTGCTGCAATCCCAAAGACACACAGTTCGAATCCACCAGCTGCTACAGGAGTAGGATGGACAGGCTCCTCCTATGTGATTTACTGCCTCTGAAAATGCCTCTGAAAACCCACTGGAAGGTCAGCTGTGGGTCGGTTCTGACTCGAGAGCACAACAACAATTACAACCACAACCCCTTCTCCATTTAGTTTCACCTGCAGTGATTTCTTTAGTAATTTATGTGACTTTGTGACAGGCTTTGCCTGCCGCTTTTGGGAATAGAGCTTGTGTGTACCCCAGAGATCTTTAACAACAGTTGCAAATTTTACTTGGTCTTCTGAAGTTGACCTTGGACATTCACAAGATAGATTTTTAAAGATCATCACGAATATTTACATTCACAGATACTTTTAGTGTGTAAAACTTACTCTCAGAAAAAGATTCCATTCACTTCCATCGCCATTATTGTCACTCACCCACTGCTGCCCTGTCAGTGGGACTCACAGTAACTCTCTGTCAGTTTCCCAGGCTGTGAATCATAACTGGAGGAGACCGCCCATCTTTCTCCCTTGGAGCAGCTGGTAGAAATGCAGTCTTTTTGTTCAGAAGCAAAACACCCTACAGACTAGGCCACTAGGGAACTCTCTCCACTGCTAGCAGCTGGCTTTATTTGGGGAGCCATTTCTCAGTGAAAGATTTTGTTATAAGTCACTTTATGCAGTTTACATGGAAAGTAGCATTGAATGACAGGTGCCAGGCTCAAGTATCGTTCACTTGCTCTGTGACTTGAGCATCCAGCACCTAGTTTAAGAAACAATACATTGGCAATAGCTAAATCTCTCTCGTGGAGCTCCTTGAGTAGTCGACAGGAAGTTACACTGCCTCCCTGGTGGTTCGAATCTACCAGCATCTCCACAGAAACTCAGTAAAGGAGAAGCTATGAGTTGGTCCAATTTGATGACTGAGATTATATAGTTTATTTCCCCAATCTTTTGCATATACCTAGTGATTTAAAAATGCTAGCTGGGCTCTGACAGAGCTAGCAGCAAAATAACAGAGGTTGTTGCCCTTTGCTCCAGGTTTTATCCTCTTGATTTTATGTGGCAGGAGCATTGGCCACCACTAAACTGAAGAATATTAAATGATCCAGGAAGTATTAAAAGAAGATGGAAAGAATATACTGAGTCACTGTATTGAAAGGAATTGGCAGACACAGAAGAATTTCATGAAGCAACATATGAGCAAGAGCCTCTGGTGATAAAAGAAGTAGTTCAGGCTGCTTTGAAGGAAATGGCAAAAAATAAGGCCCCAGGAATAGACGGTAAACCAATTGACATATTTCAGCTAACAGATGCTGCCCTGGATGTGTTCACCAAGTTGTGCCAAGAAATCTGGAGAACAACCACTTGGCCAACTGACTGGAAGAGATCTATATTTGTTCCCATCCCAAAGAAAGGTGACCCAACAGAATGTGGAAACTATAGAACAATATCATTGATTTCACATGCAAGCAAGATTCTAGTGAAGATTATCCAAAAATGACTGGAACAACACATCAACAGAAATTTGCCAGAAGTCCAGGCTGGGTTTAGAAGGGGTCGTGGTACTAGGGATATTGTAGCTAATGTTAGATGGATCTCAGCTGAAAGCAGAGAATACCAGAGGAATGTCTATTTGTGTTTCATTGACTATGCAAAGACATTTGACTGTGTGGATCATAACAAACTGTGGCTGACTCTGAGAAGAATGGGAATCCTGGAACACTTTATCGTTCTAATGCAAAACCTATACTTGAACCAGGAGGCAGTCATCAGAACAGAGCAAGGGAACACTGCATGGTTCAAAATTGAGAAGGGCGTACACCAGGGATGTGTCCTATCTCCATACCTTTTCAACCTGTATGCAGAACAGATTATCCAGGAGGCTGGGCTCTATGAGGAGAAATGTGGGGTCAAGATTGGTGGACGATTTACCAACAACCTGCATTATGCGGATGACACAACCCTGCTTGCTGAAACTGAAGAGAACCTGAAGCACCTGCTGCAGAGGGTCAAGGACTGCAGCCTACAATATGGATTGAGGCTCAATGTCAAGAAGACAAAGATTCTCACCACTGGGCCAATTGGCAGCATCAGGATGGATGGTGAAGAGATTGAGATTGTTTACAGCTTTAGTTTGCTTGGCTCCATAGTCAACATTCTTGGCACCAGTAGCCAGGAAATTAAAAGGCGCATTGCCATGGGAAAGTCTGCTGTTAGGGACCTCTCCAAAGTACTGAAGAGCAATGGTGTCTCTCTGGAGACTAAGGTGCATCTGATACAGGCCATGGTCTTTGCAATCACTTGTTATGCATCAGAGAGTTGGACAATGACTAAGGAGGATAGAAGGAGAATTGATGCCTTTGAGCTGTGGTGCTGGAGAAGAGTATTGAGAGTACCATGGACTGCTAGGAAAACAAACAGATTCATCCTTGAAAGGGTTAAACTGCGTGGCTTCTTGGAGGCAACGATTCTGACATACTTTGGTCATATTGTAAGGAGCGACTGGTCCTTGGAGAAGGACATCATGCTTGGGAGGGTGGAGGGACAGCGCAGGAGGGGAAGGCCCTCTATGAGGTGGATTGATTCAGTGACTGGGGTAATCGGGATGGGTGTGTCAGAAACTGATATTTGCACAGGACAGAGCAGAGTTTAGGGCTATTATACATAGGGTCGCTATGAGTCACAAGCGACTCCACAGCACATAACAACAACAACAACAATATTAATCACAGAATGTGAGTTAGCATAAGACAACACAAATGACTTGCTTCCTGCAGGCTACTGTGACCCCACACCCATCTTACTGTGCTCAAAAATACCTGGCTCATTGTCTCCATGACCACGCCTGTGGAATTGGAAGGAGTTTCTGGGAAGGAACACTGGAGGAGGCGGGGGCACCATCCACATGTGACAGCATGCTGGGCCCAGGATCTCTCAGCCAGGTGGAGCGGGTGTAGAGTCCAGCGGAGGCAGCTCCCTGCAGCACCTGGGAGGCTAGGGTTAGTCTCAGCCTCTGTTTTGTTGAGTTACAACCAACATACAATACACTGTCCTGAAGTGTACAGTCTCCTAATTTGACAAGTGTATACACTGCTGAAGCCATTACTAAGCCAAGACAGTGAGCAATTCCAGCAGCCCCAAAATGTTCCTTCTGCTCTCTGTAAGCCCTCACTGCTACTCCATTCACAGATCTGCTTTCTGTCCTTATAAATTGGATTGTATTTTCTGGAATTTTATGGAAATGGAGTCATAACAGTAGGTGGTCTGGTAGTAAAGTCCATAAGGAATTATGCTGTTGACCCAAAGGCTGCGTCCTGGAAAAAGATGGGCTTTCTCTTCTGTGCTTCTTACTTCCTCAGATACTGACTAGATGGTCAGCGTTGAGTCTGTTCCAATTCCTCATTAATGAGGGGGTTTTTAAAAGTCTCTGTCATGTACCCCTTCCCAACTATCCTTGCCTACACTGAAGCTTCAGAGCACACATGCTTCAGGGATATCTGTTCCTGATTTAATAAAGCAAGTGATTGTATGCTGTGGGCATCGGAGTCACACAGGGAGTTGAAATGACCAGTTGAACAACCCTGAATGCTAGATGTCTGCTCAATAGTTAACCACATCTTCCTTTGCTAATTTGGCCCAGGCTTTCTTCCTTAGCCCCTCACCTGCACGTCATTTTTATTTCAAGGCAGTCAAAGGATGATTTAAGTTGTCAAAGTCAGTTGGATTCAACATGATTGGGCCTCTGGAGGTGGGGAGGTGAGAGCAGTTAAAAAGGAGAAAGCGGTTCTTCCCCTGTCTTTTGCCAAGTCAGTATTCATTGTCTATTCTCCCCTTCTCCATTCCCTTTATTAAAACAGCAGTGTTAGGCAGTATTTGTCCTTTTGTGACTTAGATATTTCATTTAACATAATGTCCTCATGGCTACCTCCATATTGTGTAATGTTTTACTATTTCATTCTTTTTCCTCACTGCATAATATTTCGTTGTGTGGATGGGATATTTTCTATCCACTTATTTCTTGATGGGCACTTGGGTTGTTTCCATCTCTTTACTATTGTGAATAATGCAGCAACAAACTTGGATGTGCGCACATCTGTTTGAGTTGTGGCTCTGGTTTCTTTAGATTATATTCCTAGCAATAATGAATAAAGTTAAAATGTTTTAAAACTCATAAAATTTTAAAAATTATTCTGAAAAGAAACAATACAACTAAAAGAAAAGAACTGGAAATAATGCTGATTATGGATTATATGTTTGTGTACTTACCTGCTTCACCTCCTTAGCAACAAGTGAAGCAGATTTGAAAAATGAGTGGTGAAAGGATTAAAAAGGAATGTTTGAATGAATTCATATTTTCAAATTTATTAAAGCTCCATTAATGGTTAAACAAAAAAAAAAAGTAGGCAAAGGGGCTAAATCAGGTCCTGGACACCAACTCTCCTTATCTTATTCTGTACACTTTTTTGTGTGCCTTAAACAATTTTTTTTTAAAGTCATTTATTCTACATGCCATAAAAGAAAAATTTTAGCATTTAGAGTTCCCCTTTCCATTGAATTCACTAGTAAGTGTCATTATGTGTCATTTAACCCAGATAAGCCTAGTCGGATTGTACCTAAAAATTCAATGTATTTTATGTCAGAAGACTTGAGTTTCAGTCCAGAAACGCTCTTTATTGTCACTTTCCCTCATTTTTTCCTGATTATTTAGATAAAGGCAAATGATTCCCTTCCCTGCATATGGTGCAGCTCTGAAGAAGTAAGTGGATTTCGAGCATGCTCAGATGTCACAAGGTGGGAATCAGTGGCAGGAATGGCAGCTGGTGCAGACCTCATCACCTTCCCTCATTCCTCTCCTCTGACCACCTCTGAGCAAGCTTTGAAAGCCCAGCGCACCCGAGAGCAACCCCAACCCAGTCACTTGCTAGTTGTTTGACCTTGGGCGGATTATTTCACTTCTCTGAGCAGCAGATTCCTGTCTGTCAAAGGGGAAAATACTTGCCTTGTCTGGTTGTGAGAAAAGCACCCTGTGTATAGTAACCCGGTTCACCACTGTTGAGCTGAGTGTGACTCATGACAATTCAGTAGGACAAGGTAAAACCACCCCCTAGAGAGTCCAAGATTGTGAATCTTTTTTTTTCCAAGGTTGTGAATCTTTATGGACGTACTGCCTTTCTATTCACCCAGCTTACCTAGTGACAAATTTTTACTCCTCTCTCCGTCCCTTCCCATCCCTTTCATCGTCCATAAAGATTCACAAAGATGAAAAGGATGGGAAGGGAGGGAGAGAGGAGTAAAAATTCGTCACTAGGTAAGCTGGGTGAATAGAAAGGCAGTACGTGAAAAGAGATTGATGAGACACTGTCGCTAATGATGTTAATCAGTGACAATGTTCTAATGCAAAATGTTCATGAATGATTGTATATAAAAACCCTTTATGATTTGTAAAACTTCACTGAAATTGGGGGCAATAAAATCCTTATGGAAGCAAACGGCCCCAGGTTTCTCCTGCAGAGTAGCTGGTGGATCCAGGCGTGGCCGAGCACTCTAGAACTCCTTTGCACGTGGGAGCTGCTTAATGTATGTGTGCGTACTAGCCCATGAACCCTCACCTGGTACTTATTTTTCCTTTGTTCTAGTGGTTCTGTTCATCGGAGTCAAACTGACTTTGCCTTTGTAACTGGCAATTTGATTGGCAAATTCTTCTCCTCTCAAGTCCGTGGGAGCTTGGATCCCTATGAAGGTCAGGAGATTGTGGTACGGGCCATGTTGGCCTTCCTGCAGAAGCACCTCGGTAAGGAGACAGCTGTATAAGGGGAAAAATTTTTCCTGTAGTGGAGGTGGTCTATACTGATATGTCAGGGATTTGGGGGCTTAGGACAAAATGAAAACCTGTGTGAAGGAGACTTAAACGGGGTAATAGAAAAAAAAATCTTAACTGGAAATTCAGAGATTCTGGTTCAGTCTGTTGCTAACTGCCTGACCTTAGGTAATTGTTTAACTTTCCTGAGCCTCCGTTTTATTATTAAATGGTGTATTATATACCTTCTCTCCACTGACTTTGTTCAAATCCAAGGTTAGCCTACCAAAGATAGGCCAAGGCCCATCTGTGTTGTAAGACTAGTTGTGATGATAGATGGTCTAAATTTGACCAAAAAGACTCTCAAGAAAGCAAGAAAGGATTATGGATTGTTAGACCAGCTGAACTGTGAGACCCTTAGAAGAGGTCTCGTGGTCTAGCAGCCCACCCAGAAGAGGTATCTGCCGCATGATCAAGCAGCATGACCTTTTGCAAGGAGAAAGCATTGGTAAGCACATGAGCCCTCCTCCCTACTGGAGAGGTTTGTGGGTTTGGGTTTTGTTTTTTAATAACTGTGTCTTTTCATCAGAAAGACAATGTGCTCGTTGAAAGTATCCATACCAAAACAGTTTTCTGTTCAATAGTCTCTACAGACGTTTCAGGGGCCTTGATTACATTCTTCCCATTGCACCAGCTTTCTCATTATTTCCAGGTCTAGTTGTTCCATTCCCACTGACCTCATCTCACAGCCCACCAACCTCCTCATCTATGCATTGGAGTATTTGTTGGGCATTTGTTCTTATAGAGATAATTTTTTTAAAGGGATGACATTCATTACTGTTTTTGTAAATTTTGTTGTTGAGAATGTACCCAGCAAAGCTATACAGTTCAGGAACCTTGGTTACATTCTTGAAGTTGTACTATTTTCACCCTCCTGTTCTTTTTTAATAAATCGTTATTTTATACTGGTTTGCTTACAACATTTATATACATTGTTTTTCACACCGGATCTTTCCCATTTCCTTTAGCCACTCCTACCTCTACCCATCAAATTGTGTGACCCTATGATTACTCTCCTGCCTGTCCTCACCCCTTGGCTCCCTTTCACTCTCTCCTGGATCCTCATACACGTTTTGCTAGTGTTCTTTCCATTCACCCTTCCATTCTGAGTTGTTCCTTTCACATTAACATCAGTCCCCAAAGGTTCCTATCTGATCTTTGGAGTTGTTCTTGTCCCTTAGATCCCACATAGATAATTCTTAAAGGGGCAGAAACCTCAAGGCAGACCTTTTTCAAGAGTTACTAATGTTTAGTTTTAAGAAGACTTTAGAGGTGTAATTTTCTTTCAAGGTTTAAAGATGATCTCAGGATAATCATGTTGGGAAATCTGCTGCTCTGTTAATATTATAAATATGAAATATTACTATTTACTGGGTTTTCATATTACTATACTGTTTACTAGTTGGTTAAAAAGATGGCTTTGAAAAAAATTTTAAAATACTAAAAATATTGACAAGCTCTGGTGGCCTAGCGGCAAGAAAGGGCACTACAATCCCACAGGTGAACGGTTCAAACCCCCCAGATGCTCTGCTAGAGAAGGAGGGACAATCTCCTCCCGTACCAGTCAAATCCAATTTGACAGTACACACACTAAAATAATTTTTAAAAATGCTAAAAATAAAAACTTGAAAGACAAAAAACAAAAATGGCTTGGAATTATTTCAGTTCAAGGCTTAAAGAACATCTCAGCATAGTTGTTATTGAGTGCTGTTGATTCAGCTCTGATTCACAGCAACTCTATGTACAACTCACTGAATCTCAGCCCAGTCCTGCACCATCCTTGCACTTTGCTGAGGTTAAGCCCATTGTTCAAGTTGCAGGGTCAGTCCACCTCGTTGGATGTCGTCCTTTTTCACCAATCCTTTCCCATCCAAGCATGATGTTCTTCTCCAAAGACTCACCCCTTCTGATGTGAGTCTGGTAAGTCTGGATATTTTTAAAGATTTTGAATTCTTTTTCCCACTTTCTGTGAGGATTCCTCCTATTCTTCTGGCCTCAGGATCAGGTATGTGCGTGGTCCTGGAGTTTCCATTAGGTACGCTGCTTCCTTCTCGGATTCTTGAGTTTTTGTCTTTCTCTTTTGTTCCAGTAAGTGGGTAGAGACCAAGAGTTGAGTTTTAGATGGGCACTCAACTCTAATGATTTTAAGACTTGTGATCTTGTTACGTTTTCTTTGGTTACAAGGACTAGAGAGTCTGTAACTTACCTCCAGAAAGAAGAAGAATTTGTGGTGAGAATGTACTTGGACTAGGTAGGAAGAGAAGAGTTAGAAGAGTCAACTAACCTGCAGGACTGGCTGCTCTCTGGGTCGCGGTCATAGTGTCAGTTTCTTTGTCTCTTCATTTTATGATCTTGGCCGTAGTCTGCAGCTGTCTTCCTTTTCTGCTCTCTATTTCTCCATCTTGCTGATGGTGTCTGCTCATACATAGTTTCTGCTTCCTCATCATTTTGGTTGGCTTGAACCACGCTGCCTTCTTCTCTCTACCTTGTAGCATCCTTCCATTTTCAGCTCCCACCACTTACTGCCATTATTCTCTTTGCTTTCTTAGCCCAGATACTTGAGAAACAGTCTGACTATAATAACTTGTCTCTGCTGCCAACACACTTGAAAATCACTCTCTAGCCTAGGCCTGGAGTGCTCTCTTGACGAGATGTTCCTTTCTTATGCAGTCAGAGTGGGATCATTGTTTGCATGAGGCTGACCTCTCAGCAGCTGCTGTGTGTAGGGCATTTTCCTTCAGAAGGAGGTTGGGTCTTACTGGATTGCTAAGCTTTGGCCACACTCTAACCTATGCCAGGATCTGATATTTTATAACTCTTCCTACTTGCCCTTGATCCCGTCAGCAGCCATCCATGGAAACCTCAGATTACTTGCACATGGTCATTCTTCACATGTTTGAAAGCACCTGTGGTATCCTTTCTGAGATGTTTGTTCACTGAGCTGTGTGACCGTGATACCTCCTCATCTGCCCCCGTGCACTACTGTTGCCCTGTATTATCCTTGACAGTTAGCAGTATTGTATATCATGTACCCTTTAAAGTGTCGTGACATGCCTGAACGTGACCAGCTAGATGTGGTCTGACTAGTGCCGATACAGCAGGACTATCTGTCACCTCTGGTGCTCCAGCTATGAGACCTGTAGGTGGATGGCCAGAGTGCATTAACATTTCCAGGAACTGTAACACATTTTGTTTAGATTTCATTTCTTTTCAAAACATCTGTCCAAAAGGCTCCAATGAGGTCATGCACAGGGAGTTGTACTGCTGGCCCAAAGGCAGCAGGTACTGCTCTGCGGGTCCAAACCCACCAGTGGCTCCACTGGAGGAAGAAGGACAGTCTCGACGCCTGTGATTTAGAGCCTGCAGAAAAGCCACTGGAGGGTCAACTCCGAGTCAGTTCTGTTGTGACAGCAATGAGTTTGATGTTTTTGTTTGCTCTCACCAAAGAATGTTGTGCTGCCTTTTTAAATTTAAATTTGCACTTTAACCTTTGTGCTTGTTCACTTATCATGAGAAAACTACCAACTTGGGTTTAGGGATTTTAAGATTAGTGGAGAACTCTGGTGACCTAGTGGCAAGAAGCTGCAACTACAGTCTCAGAGGTGCACGGTTCAAATCTACCAGATGCTCTGCTGGAGAAGGAGGAACAATCTCCTCCTGTACCAGTCAGATCTGATTTGATGGAACACACAAAAAAATAATGAAATAAAATAAATTTTTAAAAAAATATTAGTAAAAGCTTTTGAGTTATCATTCTATTTCTGAGCAAGGGAGGAATAGATTCAAATCTCAAGACTTTGGTGAAGCCCAGCTGCCTGGTCCCCAGCCCACCTTCCCCATTTCCTCTTAGGCATCAGGTCTGAGCTAAAGATAAAGATGACGGAAGTGCACCCGAGCAGAGCTGGCCTCCCTGTAGCAGCAGTGCCTGTGAGCTAAGTTAGTTATTGCAGGAGATGAGCAGAAGACAAGAGGAAGGAGAGAGAGGCTTAGATGGAGGAAGAACATTAGCGTTTACTTAATATCAGTCTTGTGCTCTACTTCTCATGCCCTGTCACATGTAATCTGGAAGGCAGTTCTAATTACTTTTATTATTAATTCCTTTTTTCCAGGAGAGGAAAGAAAGTCATTTGTTCAGGGTTATTTGGCTGTTGAGTGACAAAGTCAGTGTACAGCCCAGGTTCAAGTCTATGTACTACCTCACTGCACTATTCTGTCGAATCACTGACGACTGTAATGGCAAGTTCCATGACCAGGGATGCCTGCAGTCTTAGCGTGATGTGTGGAGGGGAATCTAGTTATGACAGGGAGAGGACAGTCAAGGAGGAAGCTTCTTAGACACAGCACAACTTGCCATCATTCTTAATGGGTGCATAGAATTCACCATGTAGGGAAGGGGTAAAATCTGCCTGATTGAAAATGTGGGCTTGAGCAAGCCTGTTGTATTTGCAAAACTGGTTTACCTGCAGCCCAGGATAGTGACTTGTTTAGGAAAATAAAGCTAGAGAAATGGGCAGAAGCCATTTAGAAGCCTACCTATTTGCTGGCCATTAGAAGCCTTTGGCGAGTTTTAGGTGAGGAAATGCCATGGTTAGATTTGTGTCTGCACTTGGTTGCTTCGTGGCGGATGTGCAAGATGGCGCAGGTTGGCAGGCCGAGTGCCCATCTGGAAGCTCCTGCCGTTAGCCAGGGGATAAGTGATAAGCAGAGTCTGGGAAAAGGCAGAGGCTCTCAGCTTGGCTTGATTAACTTTATAAAGAGAGAAACCCTTTTTGGTGGCCACACTACATTGTCACATGGGATGAAAATAGCTTATAGATGTCTCAGCTCAACCTCTCACCATCTCCTGAAAATGGTATTTCAGGGCATGTGCTCTGCTGACACTGGTTGAGAAATGTCTTCTATTTATGAAGCTTTGTGCTTCTTTCACATGAACTACTTGCAGCTCCTTTCGCCACCCATCCATCCTCTCTCCACTCCTAGAAGACTAACTACATCACACCTTCTGTGTCCTCAGACCTCCCACCCCTCCTCCCCATCCTGTCTTTTAGCTAATTAACTTTTCTTCCTACTTCACTGAGAAAATGGAAGCAGCCAGCACTTCCTCAAACTTCCACACCTCCCTGCATGTGCTCTTAGCTGTGAGTGTTTCCTGCTTTGTTTCCCAAGGCAGCAGTTTTCTCCTTTTATATGTCGTCGCTCTTTCCCTCTTTACTGGTCCATTTCCAAAAGGATGCAAACACGCTGACATTTCTCTGCATCTTTTAAATAAATCTGTCTTTTTAAAAAAAATCCCTCTTGGCCCCACTTTCCCCTCCAGTTGCCTCTCCCTTTTCTCATACCCCACAGCAGCAAAGCTTACCAGAAGAATGTCTTCCTTCACCTCCCCTTATCCATTCCTCCTCAGGCCCTCTGAAACCCACCCAGTCATACTTTCGCATTCTAGTACTCCATCCAGACTGCCTTTGTCAAGATAACTAATGACCTTCACAATATTAATCTAATGTTATTGTTGTTCTTACTAAGTCCTTGTAAAGTCGACTCTCACTAATAGCGACCCTGTGAACAACAGATCTGAACATCCATGCTCAAGCCCATTGTCCAGTCAACACGCATCGATCCATCTCATTGAGGGTCTGTCTCTCTTTTGCTGACCATTTTAATCTAATAGTCAATTCTTATTCCTCATTTTCCTGGAACCTTCGGCAGCTCTAGACATAGTTGGTAACACCTTTCTCTGTGCAACACTCTTCTCGTTTGAATTCCAAGTAAAAGCTGTGGATTTTCTCCTATCTCAATGTCTGCTCACTCTCAGTCAGTTTATCTCCTTCCTGGGTTTAGTCTATGTTCTTCTCATCTAATCTCATGGCTTAAATGCCATCTCTGAGCCGACAACAGCCTCATTTACATCTCCATTTTCATCTCACCTAAGAACATTGGATTTCTGTAACACATTTCTGGGAAGTCAGTGTCTCTACTTAAATGTCTAATACACATTGCAAACAAAAGCCTGTTTTACCTGCAGGCTTTCCTTTCTTCTTCTTGTTATATACCACAGAGTTGGAACTAACCCATAGCTGACCCTCCAGCAGGTTTTCAGAGGCATTAAATTGCTCAGGAGAAGATTGCCCCTCTTTGTCCTGCAGTGCATTCAAACCGCATACCTTTGGGATGGCAGCACAGTTCCTTACTACTAGACCAACCAGAGTTCCCTTAGTTCCTAGCAAATTCGTTCTTCTAGTTACTCAGGCCAGAATCCTCACCTTACCCGTTCTCTTACACCTTCCAACTAGTCCATTAGAAAACCCTGCGTCTCCAGACACACTCCTCCTACAGGGCTGTTCACTGGGATTCCTTCTGCGTGGAACACTTCTCCCACATAAGTCTCATGGCTCATTTCCACCTCCTTTTAAGTATTGCTCAAGTCTCACCTTCTTTCTCTTATACTTTTTTATTGTGTTTTGAATATAACCAGAAAAAGTGTGTCCAACATAAAAATTCCTTTTCCATCCCAGCACTCGTGCATCTTTTGTCTTGTGACATTACCATCCCCACATTATAACACCATTCTTCCTACGTATTCCCGGTAATTCTCAGTTCCCTTCATCCTTCTGTCCTGTCCCTTTCTGCCCATTCAATGTTACCCAGAGGAAATGCTATGCTTTTGATCTTGTATGGTTGATTGTCCTAAGACGTGAGAACCTCCATGGTGGTTTTTGTTTCTATTATAAGCCTGTTTACAGCCACCACCGTTTTCCTTATCTGGCTCTAATTTTTCCCCCAGTAGCATTTAGTGTCTTTTCACTGTTACATGATTTATTATGTTTATCATTCATTTGAGCTGCTAGATTGGGAGTTCTGTGATGATAGAAGTTTCTCTCTCTTTCGTTCACTGGTGTATTTTTGCACCCAGGACAGAGTGCAGCACATGGTAGGTGGGCTCACCGTTTAGCGAGTTAATAAATAGGTAGCAGCTATTCAGTGGGAGCCTGTTTCATGCCAGCCCCTCAGTAGGGCACTAGGCATCCACAGATGAGGTCCCCGCCTCCTCCCCAGGTTTTGCTTGTTTGGAACAGTGACACCATTTGCCTGCCCAGCTTGTGCCCTACTCCCTCAGCCCCAGGACTTGGACCCTATCTGGTTGCTCCTTCCATGCAGTTAGACCCATATGGCCGTGAGCCCACGGCTCTCTTTGGTCAGACTTGGTCTTAAGTTGCTCCAAGATGCTGCCACTTCATCGCTGCTGCCCACCATGCTGGAGGTGAAAATCCTCTCCTTGCTTCATAGCATCTCTGAGCCGCACAGCAGGCTTTTCATTTTCTGGCCCTTTTCTGGCCTGGGTTTGAATTCTCTATCTACCATTTAACCAACTGGAATGATCTTGGGCATAGGTATCATCTCTGAGCCTCACCTATAAAAGTAAGTTAATCATAATACTTAATGCATAGGGATGTTGTGAAAATTAAATGAAATGTAGGTGGAGCGTTTAGCACAGTCTGTTGCGTGAATTATACTGCAGGAAGTGTTAGCTTCTATTATTATTACCATTATTGAATTGTTATGAATAAAGTAAGGTACTACAGGTGTAAAGCACATTTATAGAGACGCTGGATAAATAGTGGCCACCATTCCTCCATTACTGCTGCCACCATCGTGACCACCATACCCAGGTCCTTCAGTATCCCAGTGTCCCTCTCTCTAGGATGACCCGCTCAAGCGATGGTAGCCACTCTTTGATCTAATTTATTGCGTGTGTTGGGTTTTTTTGTTTTCTTTTCCCACTTAGACCTGCAGGAGGACTATGATCAATGGAACAACCTCATTGAAGGCATTGGACCGTCCCTGACCCCTGGGGCCCCACGCCATCTGTCCAGCCTGTAGGCACGTTGGTCATCTTCCAAAGGCCACTGGAGCTGAGTTTCCATTTGAGGGCTGCTCAGGAGCACCCACTGTCTTCTCTCAGAAAGAGGTTAACACGACCTTTCCCATGGAGGATGTCATCACATTGCTGATTGGGTAGCTGGGGACTTTTATCTTGGACTTGTTGATCTTTAACTCATGTTGGGACTTGAATCACTTGCTGATTGGCAGACTGACTTTCTGGGGCCTGAATTCTGGTGGTGTGGGGAATAAGCAGTGGAGCGGAGCTCAAGCAGAGCATTAAGCACTACGGGGCCTGGATGTGCAAGCTTAGCCAGGAGCCTCCTCCCTTGCCACGGGCCGGTGTGACTTTTGAAGTGGCAGAGAATAAGCCAAAGAATGGAATTGAACTTCTCTCCCTCAGGACCTCTTGCCTGACCTGGCACTATCTCTCCCTACCTCTCAACCTTCTTACCTGGGGCCACTTGTAAGTTCTGAGCATTTTAGGCAAATTTCTGGAGTCTTAACCATCTTCACATTTCGTCTTTGTTTTTGAGCCTTCCCATGACATGAACCTGGGCACTTAGCATTCAGCTGTACTAGTGAGCGGAGGGCAGACAGCATTGTCCTCATAGCCTAGGGAGAGAAATGGAGGTACACAGAGGTCCCTGAGAAGCTCTGAATGTCTTTAAGGTTTTGCTAAAAATATATCTTGACAAGAAGTGAACACAATAGGCTGAGGGAAGGTTGAATAACAGTGTTCAGGCATCCATTTGCACAGACCCTCACCACAAGAGTAAGGCTGTTGACCAGCTGGACCTCAGGAGGCCTCCGGTGGAGGGGTCTAGGAAGGACTTCCCCTTCCCTCAGATAGCTGGAGATTTCTGCTTGCCCACAGTCGGGGGGTCAGGTTGCCTGGCTTTGAGGCCTCAGCCATGAATTTAAGTCAGGATATAAGGTGCATTTCTATTCCGTTCCATTTTTGGTGTTTCATTAAATGAATAGTATTAATACTCATGTTTGCCTAATGATATGTTACACTATTCCTTTCTTTTAATCTACACTAGAGCAAGATGGGGAGCCATCTGGAAATGATTTTACCTTCTGTCTTTGTTCACTTACCACTTGGGCTCATGTGGGGGGAAAAGAAAACTGTAAAAAAAAAAAAAGAAAGTCTTCCTAAGGATCTAGTTCAGAGTTGTTTGGGGACATCAACCTGAAACAACCCCTTCTACTACTCTGATGGACTTCTTACCTCAGTTCAACAAGGGCATCCTAGAGGAAGCAAGAGCAAAGGACGAATGTGTCTGAATCCACTAAGCCCAAAGTGATGCAGCCAAAGCAAGCTGGGGCTACGTCTCCCACCTCCCAACTGCTGTTCTATCCAAGAGGTGACACAGCAGACCCACTGAGGCAGTGACCCTTGGAAGGCTGTGCTCATTCTGGTTCATGGAGCAGAAGGAGGTTACCGTTAAAGCCCTCGACTCTGGCGTTCTTGAAGCCTTGTTCTGAGTTCTGGCTCTACCACTACTGACTGGGTGAATTTGAGGAAATTGCTTTCTCTTTCTAATCTAAAATGGGGAACAATGTTATGAATATTTAGGAGATTAAGTGAGAGAATGTGTAACCAAGAGATTAATTAAAAGTATCTTTCTTACTTTCCAAAATGTGTGATGTGTTTACTTGTAATGATTGTTTCCTAATTTAATTGCTTCGTGGTCAGAGAGGACTCATACAGTTTCAGTCTTCCAAGATTCATAGAAACTCAGAGTCAATTTTGTCAATGATCCATGTATGCTTTGAAAGATTGTATTTCAAAGTGGTTGCCTTGCTCTTTTCTCAACAGCACACCATGAATTTCCTTCTCTATACAAATACATAACAGGCCTCCTAACTCCCATACGGGAGCCAGAGGCCCTCGGCAGTCACAGAACCAGCAGAGGCCCACCCTGTATGGAGCTGACTGCACCAGTGTTGAAGGGTTAGTTTAGCATGGCTTCTACCATCTTCGCTGTCATTGCATGAATCTAACTCATAGCGACCCTCCGTTGGATTTTCAAAGCTATAATTACCTGTGGGAAGAGCAGCTGGTGGATTCAAACTGCTGACCTTTCATTTAGCAGTGCAATACATAGCCCACTGCACTACCAGAGCTCCTTAGCTGCTTCTGTAATAATGCAAGTTACATGTTCCAAATAATGCAGATACGTATTGTAAAGAAAGCTCTTAGCAGGAGATCTGAATAGGATTTGTCTCCCCCACCTACTTCATGTTAATGATTTCTTTATCCAGCCACATGAGAGTAAGTAGATCATATCACTGAAAATTATCCTTTAAGCCTCAAAACATATTGACTCTACAGAATGGTAATTGATCACAAAAGGTGCACATACTTCCTAATAAAAGTAAGTGATTTCCTAATCAAAGTTAACTTTTTATGATATTTCTGTCAAAACAAGCTGGGTTACGTGGTAATAACTAACAAGTCTATTAGTTATTACCACAACCCCTCCAAGACAACAAAAACTTACTTCCTGCCTCTGCTGCTTGTCCGCCTTAGTTCGCGAGGGTCTGCTCTGCGTCATCCTTTCTACTTTCTGGACTTGTTGGCTCAGTTTGGAGCCTTCCTCTGCCTCCAGCAGAGATCCCAGACCCTTTCCAGTTTAAGCCCAACTCAGCTGCTCTTCTTGACCTTCCCTGTGAAGACTTCTGGAATCTTGAAATGTCATAGATAGATTCCAACTCCTTGTCTTGCCTTAACTGTGGTGAGCCTCCCATTTTCCCTGGAGCACCACTGACACCCTCTGGCTACAAAGTGGCGTGGGAGACCACGTCAATACTCAGGATCTGTCCTTATTAGAAGCTCGGGTTTTACCCCATCACAGCTTGATGTAGAGGCTGACTATCTCTGGCCATTTGCCACAATACCAGGGCCAATAAAAAAAATAATAACAGCCAACATTTGTAAGGCTTCTGTTAGGGACTGTACTAAGTGCTTTAAAACGTATTATGTCATTTATTTCTGACAGTAACTCTATCGGGTCAAAAGATTTGTTGCGGTTAGATGTCACTGAGTCAAGTATGACTCATAGTGACTCTGTGAACAACAGATCTGAACCCTGTGCTATTCTGTGCCATCATCATCTCTGACACACTTGAGCCATTGCTCCAGTCACTCTGTCAATCCTTCTTGTTGAGGTTCTTCCTCTCCTTTGTCGTCTTCCCACCCTCCCAAGCATGATATCCTTTTCCAAGGAGTAACCTCTCTTAGCAACATACCCAAAGTATGAGAGACAAAGCTTCTCCATTCATGTGTCCAAGTAGCATTCTGGTTGCAACTTTCCCAAGACATATCTGTTTATTCTTTTGAGTATGTGATATTCAGTGCTCCTCTCCAACATCTCAATTCCAAGGCGTCGATTCTTCTGTCATCCTTATTCACTGCTTCGCTCTCAGATGCATTGCAAGTGATTGAAAAGACCACACCTGCCTCTGCTGCTTGTCCGCCTTAGTTCGTGAGGGCCTGCTCTACATCATTATCCTCATTATCATCATTATCCTGAATCAGGCACACCTGACTTTTCTAGACTAATGTCACTGTTCTTAAGTATTTTGGAGAGATCCTTGACAACAAACTTGCCCAATGCAGTATGTCTCCTGATCTCCTGGCTGCTGGTACCAAGGGTGTTGGTTGTTGATCCAAGCAAGATGAACTCATTCAAAACTTCAATACTTTCTCCATCCATCATGATGTTGCCTATTGGCCCAGTGGCGAGGACCTTTGTTTTCTTGATGTTGAGATGCAATCCATATCAAAGGCTGTAGTCCTTGGTCTTCTGCAGCAAGCAAGGCTGTGTCATCTGCATAATGCAGGTTATTAATGAGTCTTGCTCTGATTCTGATACCCAGACTTCTTGTTGTTGTTACGTGCCATCGAGTCACTTGTGATTCATAGCAACCCTTTGTACAACAGTTCTGAACTCTGCTCTATCCTGAGTCATCTCTCTAACATACCTGCCCCTATTTTCCAAGTGACTGAGTCAGTCCATCTCTTCCAGTGTCTTCCTCTCTTGCACTGTCCCTCCACCCTCCCAAGTATGATGTTTCATACTTAGGTACCCTGATGCCCAGCTTCTTGTTGTTGTTATGTGCCATCAAGTTGCCTGTGATCCATGGTGATCCTATTTACAGCAGCTCTGAACCCAGCCATGTCCTGAGCCAGTCTCACTAATTCCAACACACCAACCCCCTTTGCTCCAGTTATATCAATTCATCTCATCCTGCATCTTCTCCTATGCTGTCCCTCCAACTTTCTGAATATGATGTCCTTCTGCAATGACTGGTCTCTACTAGCCACATGTCCAAAGTATGTGAGTTGGAGCTTCAAATTCCTAAACTCCAAGGAGAAACTTAGTAACACCCTATCCAAAACAGACCTTCTTGTTTTCTTGGCAGTCCATGATATAGTCAAGATTCTTCTCTAGCACCACAATTCAAAGGCATCAACTCTTCTTCTGTCATCCGTAGTCATTGCCAGATTTCTGATGCATAGCAAGTTATTGAGAAGTCCATGGCCTGGATCAGGCACACTTTAGACTCTAGACTGACATCATTGCCTTTTTAGTACTCTGGAGTGATCCTTGACAGCAGATTTTCCCAGTGCAATTTGTCTTTTGATAGTGGAGCCAAGCAAGCTGTAATTGTTAACAACCTCAATCCCTTCTCCATCTATCATGGTGCTGCCAGTTGGCCTAGTGGTGAGAAGTTTGTCTTCTTAATGTTGAGCTTCAATCCATATTGCATACTGTAGTCCTTGACCTTCTGCAGCAAGCGCTTCAAGTACTCTTCAGGTTGAGCAAGCAGGGTTATATCATCTGCATAATGCAGGTTGTTGAGTCTTCCTCCAATCTGGTGCCACATTCCTCCTCATAAAGCCCTGCTTCCCAAATGATCTGTTCTGCATATTGAAAAAGTATGGAGACAGGATGCATTCCTGATGCACTCCTTTCCTAGTTTTCTAT